GTTGCATTTAGGACCGTAAGGTAACCGAGTGAAGTTGGGCTCTGAGTTCTATAAATTAAATGTATATAGTTCTTATATAAAAAGCAAGCCACGGCAAAACCCATGAAGATTAAAAAATAAAAAATATTTTATATAATAATTATTATTAAATTTTAATAAAAATTGTAAAAATAGTAGGTTTGTTTTAAATAAAAAAAATTATTAAATTTAAGTAATAAAATCACAACTTGTATATATACTAAAATTTTACAATTTTTTAACATATGAAATTTACTAATTAAATTTTTGAAAAATTTCAAGAATTCAAAGAGTTATAAAAAATTTAAATAAGGTTTTAAAATATAAAGTTTTAAGTACAAAATTGCAACTTAATAATAAACCTATAACAACTATTAAATCTATAATTAATAATTAAAATTAGCAGATAATCGGGCTTAAAGTATGTCATAATTTAGTACAATGTACTAAATATAGACGGGTAAATCCTATCTATTAAAATAAAATATAGTTTATACCAATATTTTTCAATTGTCAAAAGCCAAAAAGTAATTTAATCAAAATTTTGAAATATTAATTGGTTCCTATATTATCCGTGTACATACACCCTTGTACAAATAAAAATTGCCTTTATTTAAATTGCAAATTATATATTTGCTATAGTTTTATATTAAAAAATTTTAATATAACTATATATATATCTATAATGATTTATTAAAAATTCATATTCTAATATCAAAAATAAATAAATAAATAAATAGTGTTAGCCAATACTTTTATATTGGTTAAAAAATATATTTATTTATAAACTTACCTTATTATCAGTATATGCTAAATGTATATAATGACTTTAAAAAAAGCCTTGACAGTATATTCTAGCATATATAATTCGTTCTGTTACGGTCAATAAAATACTCAATAATCAAGATTAACTTTTTAATAGTGTAGCCCATACAGATTTATTCATCAGATAGATCTTCATCTGATCCTGCCTCAAATTCGTCGTTTTCAAGTGCTTCATAGCTGTAATCTTCTTCATTCCCCACATTTTCCAGGGGCGCCTCAACACCCTGGGGAGCTACTGATACAGTTTCTGCAGATATATTTTGACTATATTCGGGCTTTAGGTGATAGCAATTGTTGTAATGACCTTTTTTGTCCAAAATTGCTATTTCATTCAACACCTCTTTAAGATAAGACTTTTCATAATAATTTAAAATTAATATTGATAGATCAAGAAAAAATTTCATGCCGCAATTATTATTACCTCCGGCTGCTTTACATAGTCTTTAAGGCCTTTAAATGTCCAATATGCGTATTTCTCAAAAGCACCAAACAGTGAATCTATGAGCTCGTTCTTCGGTATACGCGTCGTCTTTTGTTCCATTGTAACTTTCGGTTTCTTCGGCTAAAAAAATTAATACAATATATGAAGCTTATAATTACAAATGGCGCTAATATCTAAAAAGTAAATACACACGACTAAGCTGCTGAATTTATCGCCGACTATAGACTGAGCGCCAGGCGGAACGTAAGCACCACGATTTTCATTTTCTTCAAGGAACCTTATTGTTCTTTCAGGTTTTGCTGCCAATAAGGTTCTTTCACGCAACTTCTTGCTATAATCGGCATTTACGCTGGGCCTAATATTGAAGTTTCCCGTTACAGTAGACGATAATGATACAGCTAAAAAGTAAAATAAAAAAGGATGATATAACGAATTTTCTTAATATCACAGCTGGCAATCAAGAAAGGAAGATTATTACAATTAATATTTCTGTCTTCGCAAAAACAGTAGTTATTTTGTACTTGCTGTCCTATAACGTCAAGTTCGTATTCTTTAGGTATATCATCGTGCCGTTCATGGTCAGATAAGATAAGCTTATACTGAAAAGATAAAATAAATATATGTTTATTATTAATAGAGACTTTCCTTTTTAAAGGGAGAGTACCTGATCAGGACCACCGCTATTTTAAAAAATAAAGAAAATATTAAAAAAAGCTAATCACATAAGTATAACAAATAATCAAAATTTATTTACTACGGGTTAGAGTAAACTTGAACTTTCGCAAGCTCGAGATCGTCTTCACTTATGTCAGCCCATTTTTCAAAAAGAAATGAAGGCAACTAATTTTAAAGTTTTAATGAGGCGGATGGGTTGCTATAAGGAATTACTAAACAGGTACTAATACCTTTGCAATCCACGCTTCTTGCCTCACGCCGCTCATGTCAAGATCGCCTTCGTCTTCATCGTCATCAAACGCAAGGTCAGTTTGTTCAATAGTCGGTTTTTCATCTTCATCAAAACTTTCATCCATCGTAATATTCTACCAGAACAAAATTTATCGTTAACTACAATAGCAGAGGCGCTTTTATCGTGAATTCTATAGATTAGTAGCGCAACCAAAATTCAGCAGATCGGCCCGAATTTAGGGTCGGAATAAGCCGGAGCTTGGCCGGCATTAAGCAATAATACTGCCCATTCTGACTCTAAATTCGGGCCGATCTGCTGAAATTTGCTAATCACGTACGTATGACATCATTATACATATCAGATATTAAAAGTTCTAAACTCCTGGAAGGAAATACTATTGTTACACAACTGATTTACACATGGTGTGCAACACATAAAAAATTATTTTATAATACTTGATCAGTCCGCTTGTACATGTTATGATTATAATCCAACACCATTTTATTATAATCATAACATGTATTAGCGGACTGATCAAGTATTGTAAAATAATTTTTTTATGTGTTGCACACCGTGTGCAAAATCAGTTGTGTAACAACAACGTTTCCGTCTGCCATTAACGGGAAAATAAACATCCAATGTGGAAAAAAATTTCAATCATAAAAAGAATGGACCCTGTGAATCAAAAAGGATGGAATTGCTTTAAGAAATAAAGCTTATAAATATCTATATCTTCTCATCAAATATATATAAAAACTAGGTTTAACATTTGCCAACATTTTTTTTAGTGTTATTCATCTAATGAACACCATTATCTGAATTTTTGATCATCCGACTGTAATTCGGTTTTAAACCATAACTTATAAATTGTTAGATGATATGTCAACAGAAATAGGTGCACTTGATGAAGAAGAAGCAATTCTTCAGTATTCAGATCTATACAAAAAATTACTTGCGAAGCTTAACAATGTATCAGAAATTATTCCAAACAATGCATCTATCATTAGAAGTCGTGGGATTACTTATCAATTACTTAAGCAATATGAAGAATCACTTGCAAATTTAAATAAAGCATTAGAAATTGATCAAAGTGATATACTCACACTTATAAGCCGTGGAGTTACACATTATAATTTAAATAATTTTGAACAATCTTTTGCAGATTTTGATAGAGCGTTGAAAATCGAACCATATAACACATTTTCATTTAAAATCCGTGGAATTATCTATCAATTCTTAGGTAAATATAAAGAATCAATCATAAATTTAAATAAGGTATTAGAACTTGAACAAAATGATACATTTGCACTCAGAAGTCGTGGATTTTCTTATTATGAATTAAATTGTTTAGAAGAATCACTTGCTGATTTAAATAAAGCGTTGGAAACAGAACCAGATGAGGCGGTTGCATTAGAAATTCGAGGATTTATTTATTGTATGATGGAGAATTTTGAAGGATCATATAATGATTTGAAAAAAGCACAAGAAATTGATCCAGACTATGAAAATGCACTTAGAATTAGAGGAATTATTTATAAAATATTAGATCATTATGAAGAGTTTCTTACAAATTTTAATAAAACATTAAAAATCGAGTCAAATGATACATTAACACATAACAGTCACGAAGGCGCATCTCGTATATTTAAAATATATGAAGAATCATTTGTTGACTTAAATAAAGCATTATTAGAGAGCGAGCAAAATTATATAATGGCACTTAGATGCCGCGGAGAGACTTATCGACTCTTAGATCGACACGAAGAATCGATTACAATTTGGAATAAATCACTGGAAATTATGCTAACTAATGTGTATGCACTTGTGAGGCGTGGAATTACGTATGGGCAGTTGTTTCAATGTGAAAAATCACTTGCAGATTTAAATAAAGCATTGGAAATTGAACCAAATAATGTAATGGCATTAAAGGGTCGCAGTGCAACAAATATACAATTACATCTTTATGAAGAATCTCTTGCAGATTTAAATAGAGCATTAGAAATTGAACCAAATGATATTGATGTACTAAAAAGACGTGGTGATACTTATAGGATGTTACAACAATATGAAAATTCACTTGTAGATTTAGATAGAGTTCTAGAAGCTCAACCAAATAATGAATATGCGCTTACATGCCGTGGAGCTGTTTATCGAATGTTGCAACAATTTGATAAAGCACTTGCAGATTTGAATAGATCTTTAGAAATTGAGCCAAATAATTCTTTTGCACTTGGAAATCGTGGAGCTATCTATTTAACATCAAATCGTTACGAAGAATCACTTGCAGATTTGAATAGCACCTTAGAAATTAATCCAAATGATGTATTTGCACTTAAATGTCGCGGAATGCTTTATGGAGAAATGAAAAGATTTGAAAAGTCTCATGCAGATTTGAAAAGAGCAATAGAATTAGAAGCAAATAATCCAGGAGCAATTAGAGTACGTGGCATAACATATCAAATGCAGATTAATAATAAATGTCCACATTGTGAAATTCAGTTATACGTCTTAGATAAATATTGCTTTAAATGTATTCGAAAACAATTTGAAAGCAATTTTGTTAATTGGACGTCCGGTAATGCATTTATTGATAATCTTATTCAACAATGTCAGCTTGAAAACCCAGTACCAGGTAAAACAATAGAATGGGTGCCTTATGAAAACTTTCAAAATATCAAATATATAGCCAAAGGTGGATTTGGTTCTATTTATACAGCAATGTGGGTGAATGGATGGATTGATGATTGGAATAACGAAACTCAAAAATTTAAAAGATCGGGACCTAGTGAAATTGCATTAAAACGATTATTTAATTCCGATAATCCGAACCATAATTTTTTTGAAGAGGTAATATACAATTATATAGTTATTTAAATATTATCACTACGTTTTTCTTTTTAATTTAAATCCGACATTTCTCCGATTAACAGGCAATAAATCATGTTTTATTTTCAACGAAAGGAGGATTTGGAGTCAAATGTTATGGAATAACAAAAGATCCAAATAGCGAAGAATACATTTTAATTTTAGAATATATGAGAGGCGGTGATTTTAATGCTTTATTAAGTAAAGAAAAGTATTTTAGTTGGAAAGAAATTTATTTATTACTTCAAAATTTATTTCAAGATCTTAATGATATTCATGTTAGTGATATGATACATCGAGATATTCATCCTGGAAATATTCTATCTGATGGGAAAAAATGGTTTGTTAGTGACTTTGGGTTTTGTGGACCTGCAGATAAAAATCCTGCAGAAAAGGTATATGGAATTATGCCATATATTGCTCCAGAAGTGTTTTACAATAAACATTATACTCCCGCATCTGATATATATAGTATGGGAATAATTATGTGGCAATTAATAACCAGATGTAAACCGTTTGATGGTCGCGATTATGATTTTTACCTTGCTAGAGATATATGTAATGGTTGTCGTCCACAAGAAATTTCAGGGCTACCTCCTGAGTATGAATATATAATGAAAAAATGTTGGGATGCAGATCCCGTGAAGCGACCGAACGCGGCGGAATTACTTCATTATTTTGATAATAAACTTGATCAAATAAATCATGAAAATGTACCTTTAGATTTCAAATTCAGCACTCCTCTGTTATCCAATAATTGTAAAAGTGTATCTTTTGATCTTAAAAATTTATCTGTTCCTAAAAATTTAGGTAAGTTTATTATTGCATATAATTCGAGTTTTATAATTTTTGTTGATGATTTTGCATATCATGGCATAATGGTAACATAGATGAATATATACAATCGGGAAGTGACGGCCTCTTAATATTAAAACAAATAGACAGTGGTAATAATTTATCAAAAAATAATGAAGGTAATTAATCTTAAATTTATAACAAAAATTATAATAAATTTAATTTTTATATATATATGTATTTTTCCATTTAGTTATTTCAACGAAAGTGAAATCAATAATTTCTTCAATTGCTACTGAAAATTTGCAATCCATAAATCATGACTTCCTCAAAAGTGGATTACAATATATGAATCCTAAAAAAGGTCACTTATTAGAATTTGTTGTTTAATTTCGTGCTATCTATCTTTTTTTAACGTTTAATTATATAATAATTTAGAAATCGAATTTATATATTTCATTCGCGGTTTTACCCATACTAATTTAAAAGAATATAAAGAATCACTTATATATTTAAATAAAGCATTAGAAATTAAGCCAGATAATGCGTTTATATTAGCAAGTCGTGGGGGAACTTACCTAGTATTAGGAAGATATGAAGAATCGCTAATAGATTTAAATAAAGCATTAGAAATTGAACCAGATAACGTGACCGCACTTATATTTCGTGGGGAAAATTACCGTATGTTAAGCAGATATGAAGAATCACTTGCAGATTTAAATAATGCATTAAAAATTGACCCGAATGATGCTCACACACTTGCACATCGCGGAGCTACTTATCTAAACTTAAAAAAATACGAAGAATCTCTTATAAATTTGAATAAGGCGTTGGAAATTGAGCCAAATAATGTGTTTGCACTCGGAAAGCGTGGGGAAGCTTATCGAATGATGAGAAGATTTGAACAATCTCTTGTAGATTTAAATAAAGCATTGGAAATTGAACCGGATAACGTGTTGGCACTTGTTAATCGCGGAGCTACTTATCGACAATTGAACAAATATGAAGATTCATTAACAGATTTGAATAAGGTATTAAATATTGATCCAAATCATTGTGATGCACTTCAAATCCGAGGATTTGTTTATTATTGGTTGAATCGTTATGAAGAATCACTTTTAGACCTAAATAAAGCATTTGAAATTGATCCAAATGATAAATATACACTTAGCAAACGTGGTGTTACTTACCAAAGGTTAGATAGATATGAAGAATCACTTGCGGATTTGAACAATGCACTGGAAATTGAGCCAACCTATGTGTTTGCACTTATAAGCCGTGGAACCACTTATCGAATGTTAGGACAGTATGAAGAATCACTTATAGATTTAAGCAAAGCTTTAGAAATTGAGCCAACCAATGTGTTTGCACTTGTGAGTCGTGGAATTACTTATAGAATGATGAAACATTATGAAGAATCCCTTATAAATTTGAATAGAGCACTAGAAATCAATCCAAATTTTTCTGACGCATTTGAAAACAGAGGATATGTCTATTATGATTCAGATTGCTATGAAGAATCACTTGCTGATTTGAATAGAATATTAGAAATTAATCCAGACATTGCTGATGCACTAGCAGTTCGTGGGGCCACTTATCAAATGTTAGGATATTATGATGAATCACTTATAGATTTGAACAAAGTGTTGGAAATTGAACCAAACTACATATTTGCACTTTTCGTTCGCGGAACTGTATATCGATTATTAGGATATTATGATGAATCGCTTACAGATTTGAATAGAGCTTTAGAAATCAATCCAAAAGACGCTAATGCGCTTGGATGTCGTGGAGCTACTTATCGAATGTTGGGACAGTACGAAGAAGCGCTATCAGATTTAAATAAATCATTTGAAATTGAACCAAATGATGCGTTTACACTTAGTAACCGGGGAGCAACTCATTATGAATTGAATAATCTTGAAGAATCGCTTGTTGACTTAAATAATGCATTAAAAATTTTGCCAAATGACGCACTTTCACTTAAATATCGTGGCGCTTCTTTTAGACTTTTAGGACGTTGTGATGAATCACTTGCAGATTTAAACAACGCATTGGAAATTGTACAAACTGACCCTGATTTGTTTAGTGAGCGGGGAGCCACACTTCGCCAATTAGGTCTTTATAAAGAATCAATTTCAGATTTAAATAAAGCATTGGAAATAGATTCGAATGATTTGTTGGCACTCATAAGCCGTGGGGATTCTTTTCGTAAGTTGGGACAATATGAAAAATCGCTTGAAGATTTGAGTAGAGCGCTAGATATTGAATCAGATGATGTTGATGCACTTAAAATTCGAGGATTTACTTATAAAATGTTGAAGAAATATGACCAAGCAATGTTAGATTTCAATAAAGCGTTAGAAATCGAGTCAAATGATTTGTTTGCACTTAATAATAGGGGAGCCACTTATGAAAAGTTAAAATACTACAGAGATGCGTTTTTAGATCTCTCTAAATCACTCGAAATAGAACCGAATAGTGCTCTGGCATTAAGTATGCGTGGGTCTGTATTATATAAACTTGGCGAATATGGCCAAGCACTTGTAGACTTATCTAAATCACTCGAAATAGAACCTAATAATGCTCTGTCATTAAACATGCGTGGAAAAGTATTATATAAGTTTGGACAATATAACGAAGCACGATTAGACTTCAAGAAAGCATTAAAAATTAATCTCTGCGAAACGTTAAAATTTCGCCTTAAATTAGAATGTGTTATAAAAAGGGTTGTGGGTATAAAAAATTATATATTTCAAACCATCATACGACATAGTTAAATTAATTTAAGTAAATAACGAAAATTATTGTTCTACTTGTGTCAAAAATAATAAACTGAAGTCAATAAACAATGCTAAAGGTAGAGCCTTTTGATGAATAACTGAGTATTAATTATCATTAGTTTAAATATAAAGAAATTATTTCAAAATTGCTTACTGTCAAAGAATATACGAATTAATTTTTTAGGTTGTGCAGTACCTTCGACTACCATTGTAATAAGGGATTAAAATTAAATCTTTGAACGAGATCATTAGATTACGAGTTGTTAGGTTCTATTATCGCTCTTTTCAAATTAGTGTAACCCCTGCCGATCATCTCACACTGAAAATTGGCCAAATTCCCCAATTTTGGCGCTTTTTTTGCGTATAAATCTAAATTTCTTGCTAACAAATAAAAATTCCCAAGAT